TAAGCTGAGATAGCTAGGTGTTGTAACAAGTTTGGTTATAACTTGGGTAGTTAGGTGTTGTAAAAGTTTGGTTATAGCTGAGGTAGTTAGATGTTGTAACAAATTTGGTTTTAGCTGTTTCTCTCTTGCCGGGATGTCTGTTGATATTATTGTTTTGCCGGGATTCCTTGTGATTATTGTTGGCTTGTACATGGGAGCGGGTGGTACGCCTACCACAAGATATAATGAAATGGGAGCAGATGGTACGCCTACCACAAGATATAATGGAATGGGAGCGGATGGTACGCCTACCACAAGATATAATGAAATGGGAGCGGGTGGCACGCCTGCCACGAGATACAGGAAATGGGATCGGGTTGCACGCCTGCTACAAGATGTGAAAAGAAAGTGAAATATGCCTTTGTTTTTCTTATTCTTATTAGTAGTTGAATTTTGATTCCTTTATAGTTCTCTTGATATTCTGTTTTTACTTGTTATTCCCCGAAGCATGTTTCTCCCTCCCATCTTTACTTGTTTATTTCTGTATTTCTTTTCCGCTGTATATATTTGAACTGCACAGGTTTATTTGGTAGTCCGGTCCTAGCCTCGTCACTACTTCGCCGAGGTTAGGCTAGACACTTACCAGCACATGGGGTCGGTTGTACTGATACTACACTCTGCACTCTTTTGTGCAGACCCTGATGTTGTGGACTTCGGACCGCAGTGAAATTGCTGATTCTTGATCATCAGGCGACTCGAGGTAGTCGAGACTCAAACAGTTGTATTAGATATTCATGTTCAGATAGCTTATTGTTTCTTTTTTCCGCTTATGTTAAATTTTGCTGTTTAAATGTTATTATTTAATTGTTAATGATATAAAATGGGTAAAAAGATAAATTGCAATTGATTGGCTTGCCTAGCTCGTATTAGTAGGCGTCATCACGACTCCCGAGAATAGAAAATTCGGGTCGTGACAAATAATAATTTATTATTTTCTAATATGTTGGAAACAATTCCTATATAGTATTTATTAAACCAATTAAATAATTTGCATCTTGATCATGAGAAAGAAAAATATATTTTGCAAGTTAGTCGACCATATTTCTATCTTTATAGAATGAATTTTAAATTATGGGATACACGCGCAACACGCGTTTTGTAAGACTAGTATATATAAATATACATATACACATATTATATATATATATGCTCAGCGTGTATATTTGTATATTTGGGCTAGCGCCGACAATTACTTTCGGCCCAAGGACCAAAATGGAAAAAACCCTCCAAATATATTATGCCAGCTAATACCAAATACCATTATGCACGTACGTACTTGTATATCAACACTTAAATTTTTTTCCTTTACTCACGTAGTATCTGAAATTTATAACTTATTTCGATTTGTGCTAACTATCAAATACTTTTAATGTCAAAAACTTTTTATTGTCAAGAGTTGGAATCTATTTCTAATTAAAAGTGAAAGAATTTTAACAATCTTATCACACCTTTTGCTAATTAAATTATGTCTATATATAAATGTAGCTAGAGCATGTCATGTGTTAGTGGACAAATTTCAGATGCCTACTATCATACGACAAGACTAATTTCTTTGTTAATTAGTCCTTTTTAGTTGGTGGGATGACTGAATAATTAATTTTTACTTTAAGGCCAATGTTTTAAAAGGCGGGGCATGTTGTCGAGGCAAGGCGTAAGCCCTGAGACATGGGGCGTAAGTCCCACGGATCTTTAAATTTTATTAATTTCAAGAATTTTAAGATAGTATAAAATAAAAAATAATTACAAAAATTATATTAAAATCACAAAATTATAATAAATAATCTATTTAAAATATTTATAAATTATAATTCAAGTATGAATAATACGAAAAGTATAACATATATCGTAATATATTCGATACGAAATTTTATTGTATCTCTGAAGGAGTAATGAATCTTGAAAGAATTTTGATATTATAATTTAATATTTTTCTTAAAATACTCGTTTTATTTAATATGCTTTCTATTTGAAAGAGAATTTATATAAAAACATAATTCACAGTTTAAATAAGATTCTCTAGCATCATTTATTTTTAAGTTTCAACAAATTAATAAAGTGACACATAATTCACCGTACATTACCATGATAACTAATTATTTGTAAATATTTACTAGCTAATATTGAGCTATTAAATTTTAAGTATTGTATCTCGTAAACGTGGAAAAAATAATATTTAAAAAAATAAATATAAAAAATTATGGACTATTATATATTAAAGACATAACAAAAGTTAATAAATAAATACTTTTTAAATAAAAGATTTATTTAAAAGTAACTATCATAGAAGTCTTAATGGATAACGTGCAATAATTTTTATTTTAGTTATGACATAAAGTACTCCTAACTTAATAATTTATGATTAAGAAAAAAGTAATTTTGAATAGTCAACGATTTATTAAGAAAATTTGGGGATTTACAAGGTTAGTCACATACAATTGCATAAAGTTCTATTAGGCGAGCCCAGTACGCTAGGCGTTGGGCGTGACCGGGGCGTAAGTCTCACGGAACTAAGCCCACACATAAGCCTAAAGGCGTTATACGAGTGCCCCAGGGCGAGTCCCAATTCTGCCTTTTAAAACAATAATTAATTTTTGCTTTAAGGCCATCCTTTTTTGAAGGACAATTGCTTGTCCGTGTGTTCCTAATTTTGAGGTAAGGTCAAGCCTCCTTCTTGTTCTCTTTCTCATGAAAACAACTACACCGAGATCACTCGAAAAATTTATAAAAAAGAAAAAAGAAAAGAGCATGTCATGTATGTTTTTACACATACTTTCTGTCGAAGGGGGAGTGAGTCACATTAAAATTGTCATCATGTAATCTATACGTCACTAATTCAAACAATAAAAATATAAAATTAGCCAATGATACTTAGGTCAGAATAAGATATATATATCATATTTCCTTGGGAGTCCATTGGTCACAGAAAAATTCCTCTAATAACACAAACATATAAAAGTGTTGGACCACCTTATACTTTTGAAATAAAGAGAAAGATCTTGTGTAAGTTATTGAAACAAATTGCAAAAGTGTGTGTTCTTAGTGCTTTGCTGCAATGCTGGAGAATGTGGTCGTACGAATACAAAGGTAGATGGCCAGGCCAATTCACATATGGTGGTCCATGCAACAACAACAACAACAACAACAACCCAGTATAATCCCACACGTGGGGTCTGGGAAGGGTAATATGTACGCAGACCTTACCCCTACCCCGAAGGGTAGAGAGGCTGTTTCCAGGAGACCCTCGGCTCAAAAAAACAACAGAAGCCGATATATTAGTACCACAAAAATGCATAATAAAATAACAGCGATACAATAGATATGAAATACAGAATACGAAATACGAAAAAGATGGCTGGTATAGTAAAACTAGCAGGTAAAGCCCTGCATCAATAGATGGTGGTCCATGCAATTGTTTGTATATCACATAGGCAGTGGGCGGAATCAGGATTTGAAAAAACGGGTTCTTATTTTACTATTGTACTCATAATTCATCTTACTTATTGGGTTCGCAGTTAAATATTTGTATTTAATGGATTTCCAAATAAACATACAATGCCTAAGCAGAAATACTACATCTGTTCTAACTCATACCTAATACTCTAACTCCGCTCCTGCACACACACATATATATATATATATGGGTAATTCATTTGTTTATAGGGTTGTACGTAATTTAACGTAAACGATATATACATGCTTGGACCTAAAAGATCTTTTACTAGATATACGTTCAACTTTATGAAGAAAGAAGAGAACAACTTTCGCCATCAATATCTATCCAACTAACTAGTGAAATTAAGCATATAGTTAGTTCCTCCGGTCCACAATAAGTGATTTTTTAGCTTTTTTTGTGATTCAAAAGAAGTAATTTTTTCAGATTTCAAGAATGAATTAATTATGCTTTTTCTACATTATCCTTGGAGTAAATAGTGTTGGAATACGTGTTAGAAAAGTTAATGTGAAGAGATAGTAAAGGTTAATATGGTCAATTTTATTGCTAATTAACGTTAAAAGTTGGATTTCTTAATCTGTGTAAAAACAACTACAAAACCACTTATTTTGGACCGGAGGGAGTATAATTTATCCTGCACAAAAAACCACAAAGTCTAAGTCCTGCTATTTCAAAAGCTTAGTACAACATATATGATTGTGATGTTACAGGAGATTATCGGAATTAAGAATAGAAGATGGAAAAGATGGCAATGGAATGGCTGCATTTTTAAATGTTGCATTTGCAACAATTTAAATGTGAATATTTGAAGTACCAGTATGATCCCATTGGCCGGGAGGATAGTGCTTACGCAGTCTTACTCATGAAATCTTTGATAAAGTTTATCACATGTAGATTGTAGTCAAGTTTCTATACTTAATTAACAAGGTTATACTATATACGTCTTTTTTAAAAAAATCATCCGTTATTCGATACTCGCATTGTCGCCCGACTAAATTCGGATTCGTGTCAGGAAGTCCTCCATTGGAGGGTAAAGCTCCCTATCAAAGGCGACTCTATACCCGGGGCTTAAACCCGAGACCTCTGATTAAAGATGGAGTGCTAATCACTCCACCACAAACCCATATTGGTTACTATTAAACGGGTTACATTCTGTCAAAGAACTACCACCTCTATTCCAATTTATGTGACAAAGTTTAACTGATCATAGAGCCTAAGAAAAAAAAGATTATTTTTAAAACTTGTGGTCTTAAACTTGTCATAACGGTTATATGGTTATAAAAACTTGTCACTAGCGAAAAAAATTTAAAAAATTAATTTCCAAATTTAAAATGCTATTATTTTTTCTAATATATTTAAAAAAATATTGCAACATAAACTGAAATGGAGAAGTAATATTAAGACCAATAAAAAATTATAAGTGCTCAAATGTCGAAAAGAATGTGAAGTTTCTTGCATCACATCTAAACAGTGCCGATCCCTCCCACGCAGCATATAATATCAAAAACAATAGGTTAATTGAAATTTTCTCATTAAAGAAAAACAATGTAGACATTAAATAAAGTTTTACAAATTACAAAATATATAAGAAACAAATAGAACAATAAAAGGGTCTTTTATTAATTAATAATACTCACACGCTAGAACACCTTGAGTTCTAACTTGTCTTCAATTCAACATTATAGTAGAATCTCAATCTCAGAAGGTGAAGTTCTTTATTTTTGGCATTGCAGCCCTATGGATTATATGCTTTTCTGCATTCTGCATATAGGAATGAAAGCAAATAATTAAAACTAGGAAATATATAGAAAAAAGCAGAGATTATATTCGCCAAACATATCCCGTACAGTCAGAACGTGGTCAGTGGCAGAACCAGAAATTTATATAAGGAATTCGAAAAAATTAATAGAATTCTATAGTTCGGATTTAAACTTGTAAGTTAAAGCAACTTTGAAATTCTATTTACCACTACACTAGAATTTTTCCTTTTGTCAAGGCGATTCAATGGTTTATATATGACTAAAATTTTGATTTTAACCTATTTACGCAGCATAATTATTTGACAAAGGAGATTCAAACGAACCGCTTTCCCTCTTATTATCTCCACCTGCCCTCTAAACATGGGCATACCATACTACTAAACTATGCCCTAGGGCTGAACTCAATACTGAAATTAAGTTACCACAATACGTCAATACCATGCCAATTTTGAAAAATGAATGTAATGGTCACATGTTAATTCGAATGATGTTTTCAATCAAGAATATACTATGGACAGTTGCCTTTCCTAGGTACTTGTGTACGTAATTTTTGTTAATACTATTATTAGGGGTTGCTCTGATGGTAAGCAACTCTCACTTCCAACTGAGAGATTGTGAGTTCGAGTCTCCCCAAGAGCAAGGTGGGAAGTTCTTGGAGGGAAGGATGTCGGGGGTCTATTTGGAAACAATCTCTCTACCCTAGGGTAGGGATAAGGTCTGCGTACACACTACCCTCCCCAGACCCCACTAAGTGGGATTATACTGGGTTGTTGTTGTTGTTGTTGTTGTACTATTATTAGTGCATAGAAGGTAAACTCGTTTTTTGACATGCATAGCTAAGATTGCTAGTTTGTGGAAGTAGAAGTACTAACAAAAATGCATCACAGTCCCAGAAAATTCGGTAGGTAGTATTTGTTGAAGCGTGTGATTATCTTATTTAAAAATTTAAACTTTTAGAGAAAGAGCATGCTTAAATTCTTTTTGATAATTGGGTGGTGAGATTTGAACCCAAGATCTCTGGCTATTCAAATAATATATTGAAGTGTGTGTCTATTTCATCAAAACTAATTAATTAAAGCTTAAGTTATTAGAGGTAACTATCATAGTTTAATGATTACGTATTTAATATTGTTGTCTTTGTAGATACTCCTTTTGTGTCGTGTTTTTCTTTACACATCCCTTAAGAAATATTAATTAGGAAAGTGATTAGACTATTATACCCTTATTTATATCTTAAGCTAAAATCTCTCTTCATTAAATATTTATTCTATTTATGTATTATCTCTATCTTCAAGAACAATTATTACTAAGAGTAAAAAAGGAAAAAAATAATTAATTTTGTCTTGAACTTTTGTAACGACTCGGCCGGTTGTTTCGAGAGTTGTAGCCCCATCCCCCTATTTATTGCTCATTTTGTGCTTTATAGCTGTTATGTGACTTGCCGAGTTAGTCGGTTCGAGTCCGCGGAGATTTCGAAATGAATTGAGACACATAGTCTCAAGGTTGAGCGCTTAAATTGGATTGGTTGACCGGATGATAACTTATGGGTAAACAGCTCCAAAATAGAGTTTTGATGGTTCCGTTAGCTCCGTTAGATGATTTTAGACTTAAGAGCGTGTTCGGATTGTGATTTGGAGGTCCGGAGTTGAATTAGGCTTGAAATGGCAAAAAATTGAATTTTTGGAAAATTTGACCGAAGTGGACTTTTTGGTATCGGGGTCGGATTCCGATTTAGGAAGTTGAAGCAGGTCTGTGGTGTCATTTGTGACTTGTGTGCAAAATTCGAGGCCAATCAGACGTGATTTGATAGGTTTCGGCATCGTATGTAGAAGTTGGAATTCCTTAATTTTCATTAGGCTTGAATTGGGTGCGATTTATATTTTTAATGTTATTTGATGTAATTTGAAGGTTCGACTAGGTTCATATCGTATTTTAGGACAAGTTGGTATGTTTAGTTGAGGTATCAGGGGCCTCGGGGTTGATCTCGGATGTTTAACGGATCGAAAATGAGACTTGGTGTATGGCTGAAGCAGGGAGTCCGCTGGTGTAATCGCACACGCGGAGCTTTGATCGCAGGTGCGAGTTGAGGAGCGCAAATGCAGCCAAGATTGGGGAGGATTGTGGGCGCAGGTGCGGCGTGGTGGGCGTAGAAGCGGAGTGTGAACAGGTGCGATGGGAATTCCGAACCTGCAATTGCGCAGATGCGAGGGAAAGGATCGCAGAAGCGGAGGCCCACCTCCGGTGGTTCACCACAGAAGTGGAATTTTGGTCGCTTCTGCGACACCGCATAAGCAATTAAGTGTCCCAGAAGCGAAAATGCTGGACAGAACATTTAAATTCAAAGGTTCGCGATTTTTCTTCATTTTGAACATTTCATGCTCGGGATTGGGCGATTTTTGAGAGGATTTTCGAGGAATTTCTTGAGGTAACTCACTTGTGCTCATTTTATTCAATAATCTTATTTCCCCATTGATTTTTCCACCTAGATTGTGTGGTTTTGAGGTGAAATTGAGGGGTTGAGGTTAGAAATTTAGAGAGTTTGATTTGGGAATGTGAGTGACGATTTGGTGTCGGATTATGGTAAATTTGGTATGGTTGGACTCGTAAAATGAATAGGCTTTCGGGTTTTGTAACTTTTATTGAATTTCGAGACGTGGGCCTGAGAGATGACTTTTGAGTTGACTTTTGACTTTTGATTAAGAGTTTAGTATTTTCTTATGCAATTGATTGCTTTAGCCCGTGTTGATTGTATCGATTGTTTGTGGCTAGATTCGAGGCATTCGGTGGCCATTTTGCGAGGCAAAGGTGTGTCGGAGTAGAGATTTGCTCGGATTGAGGTAAATAAAATTTCTAAACTTAGTCTTGAGGGTTCTAAACCCGACTTTATGTGTTATATGATTGGTGTTGAGGTGACGCACATGCCAAGTAACGGGCGTGCGGGTATGCACCGTGAGAACTGTGACCTGGTCGATCCCATGGAATTGTATAGCTGATTTATCTTGTTGATATCCATGTTTTCATCATGTGATAAAGTAATTGAGCTGACAATCATGTTAGAAATCATATTTAGGCTATATGTTGGTACTGTTGGGACCCATAGTGGTCTTTTCTTGTTGTTGATTTATTGATTATATTGAAATTTTGTACTAAGTCATATTTATTCATTGCATATCATATCTCATTTTTTGTTGCTAATTATTGATATATCATATCATCATTTTGGGCTAGTTTTATGACATTGTGAGCCCNATATATATATATATATATAGTACTGTATGATTGAGTATTCTGAGAGTGTGAGTACATGAGGCTTTCAGCCTGGTTCATCACATACAACATGTGCATTGGCATGTAGATGTAGAGAAATTATATTCCTCATATCATTCAAAATTGATCTATCTTACTTGTATTGAGTTTAACTATTGACTTGAAAGTATGTCTACATTCCAGTAGTTTTATTTTTATATTGAATTGTACATGCTAAGGTCGTCACTACCTTTCAGTCCAAAGGTTAGATTTGTTACTTATTGAGTTGGTTGTACTCACGCTACACCCTGCACCTCGTGTGCAGATCCAAGTGCTTTCAGCCACGGCAGTTGCTGAGTTGTAGAGTCCGGATTTTCGAAAACTATCGAGTAGCAGCTTGGCGTTCGCAGACCTTGACTCTCCCTCCTTATCTTCAATTTTATGCTTCAGTTTTATTACCTAGATGGTGTATTAGACTATGTCTTTATGTAGATGCTTATGTACTCGGTGTCGCCCCATTTTTGGGAGAGATTTTGTGTTGAGTTATGGTTTCTTATTATTTTTTAAAATGTTTTCCTTAAATTTAACTGCTTCTGTATTTTTCAAAGCTTTAAAATGTCGGAAATGTCTGAGTAGCCGGCTTGCCTAGTTTTATGATAAGCGCCATCCCGACGAGTTGGTTTTGGATCGTGACAACTTTTAAAGTAACAAATAATTTGAGATAACTATTTTTAGTAACCATGACTGTTAATATAAGACGAAGAGAGTAACATGAAAGTCTGCTTTTGGGTTAAGAGAAAAAGAAGGATTGAATAATGGTTACCTCACTAGCACCAAGTTTAGCTTGATTCTTGGTCTCCAGCGTGAGCCCAAAGTGAATGTGAGGGAAGTGTGCCCACTAAACAAAAGATAGCTAAATCAGTAATTACCATTCAACAAACCCTCATAAGAAGTAAAGCAGCCAAAAAGAATTTTTTTAAGAGAAGATACAATGAAATTTGTCAATTTTATAGAACTCAATAGAAAAAAAAAATCAAGAGTGCATAGTGCTTGTTCCTAGATAGCAGTTGTTGATGAACTGCCCAATAGACAGACAAAAGTGAGGTGTCTTGGATATAGAATCTTTTAATTTTTCAAAATAAAATTTACATATTTGAAAACTATCTAAAAAATACTATAAGTCACAATAATATTAATAATTTTAAAAATCAAAAAAGCATATGAAAAAATTAGTTCAAAGTTTGATTTATTTGAGTCTTGAAATTCGAACACCTTCGCATAGACGAAGGAAGTAATATAAATTGTCAAGTTTCTAAGGTTTTGCACTTACATTTTTTGCAGCAGTACTAAATGCTTCCCTATGAGTGATATCTGGATTATTAGCCTTGATCCTCTGAATTTCCTCTCTGCACATTTAGCCAATTTTATGCATACACAACAAATTTCCTTATAATAAACACACATTTAATAAATATATTTTAAACTAATTAATTAATAAAGACACATGAGCTGCCTTACTTTATGAACTGGTTATATGCAGAAGGTACTCGCTGCCTCTTCTCAGGTGCTGAAAAAGAAAACACACAAATAATTAGTTTCGCTAAATAAAAATAACTTAAGGATTTAACGTATGTTCACATAGCGTAGCAAAATTTTTTTACACGATCAGTATATTTTAACATGTTATAGCAGGTAACGTACGCCGATTTACAATCCTCTCCTCACGAGGATTATTTGTGAGGGATGGTCGGACTGCCATATTCCTGCTGTTGCATTTGGATGACGAACCAAAATCTATTTTGTATTCAGGAGGAGTGTAGTTGGCCACCTGAAATTAATTTACTCACAAAAATAAAGAAGAATATGAGAAGAAATAATCAGCCAAAACAAAAGAAAATTGCTAAAGAGTGATTAATTTTTGTGAATTAAATTATTTATGAAAGACCAAAAGATAACATGACAAGATTGAAGTGACTGAATAAATTTAGAATGTTAAAGACTAAAGATAGACAGTTATTGTTGAGATCCAAGAAGGAATATATGGGAAAACCAAAAATGCTAGTTTTGACCTTTTGGGCAGTGTTTCCACATTAGAGGACAAAAAAAACCTGACGGAAAATAAATTATTAAAGAAAAAAACAACCTCAAAAATATTTCATATCAATCAATTCAAATCAATTAAAAAGCAGCTCCCAAGAAAATTGTATCCCTTGAAATATGGAGTATATAGGATGTTTGAGGCGGATCAAGAATTTAAACTTTAAATAAATTTTTTAAATTTTGAATAAATAATAATTAGCATATATTAAATAATTTTCTTAATACAAATACATAATTTTAATCAAAACAATTGAATTCAGCCCGCACTAGAATTCTAGGTCAAGGACCAAAAAGAATTGAAAAGAAAATACTAGCCGAGGCAGATGTAGCGTAATAACGACATGTTCAATTGAAACCATAACTTTCGACGCGAAGTAAAAATTTATTAAAATTGTAAAAATAATAAATATGAACCCACAACGTTAAAATATAATGTGCTCAATGTTAAAAATATTAAAATTGAACCCATAGAATTTAAATCCTGGATCCGCCTTTCAATACTAGTCTACATAGAATGTAGGTATTGGTTGTGGTGGCTGTTAGATTCTAACCAAAAATTTGATTTAATAACTCGATATTCTGAGTATTAATGTCTGTATATTTATGTTCTTGAAAGAAGCAAAACCTAGAAACCCTAGATTTCAGAAGCCTATATATACAAATTAAAAACATAACGCCCACAATTTGAGCTGCAACAAATTAAACTGATTTATTTTGGATTTTGACCTGATGAAGATGATGAGTGTGACTTTGCCAGGAGGAGGAAGAAGAAGACTGAAATGCAGCAGCCATATTTACAGTCCACATATTTGTGCAGTGTCCACATCGAACTGTCACTATATCAAACAAGTTGCTGCATGGTACACTCACCTGCAATAATATATCAAACCCCATTAATATAATAACATCAAAAAGAAATCAAACAAAATAATTTTTTTTTAAAAAAAATTAGGAGTCATGTAAAACTCAGCAATTTCAGACTTTAATCTTGAAGATCTAGTCACAAGTGAGTGATGGTCTCAAGGAATGTGATATTATTATATTATATATTTTAAAATTTTCTCTGCGTATAATGTATCCTGATTTTAGCAACAAATAATGAATTCAGTTGAACTCACAGAACCCTCTATGTTCGTCTTTTGAGCTTAGGGAGAAGGCCATTTAGGGTGGAAGGGAAAGGTCTAAATCTTGAGATCTCTTCCCAAAATTGCACCAAAAAAGAATGAGTGAAAGTTCATATATTCACCCAACTACAATGGGACTAAGCTTCCCCTTTGTCTCTCTTCTTTAACTAATGACGAAGCAAATCCCTAAAGTCAAAGTAATCAATGAAAGCATCAATTTTTTCCGTTCAAGAAATTGCCAAAAATGAGGTAATGAAAATGTAAGCTACATCGTTCGTGTCCATATGACTCCTTTATGGAGTAAATATCAAGATCTAAGACGTGAACAAAATCTGAAAAAGAGAATTCTACCCGTAACATCTATGTCAGTCATATTTTAAAGCTTAGTAAGATTCTAAAGAAACCCTAAAGGAACAATTTGGAGTCCTTCAGGACAACTCAGTTGGTTTGGAGGAGTTATCCATAGTGATGACCTGAGATCGATCCACCCTCAATACCTTCTAGGTCTGAGTTTGTCACACAGCGCTTGCCTAATGCGGTTTACATCCCTTGTGTGGTTTGCAAGCTATTACACAGTGGAGATTTACTCAGTGCGCACAGAGTGCTCACCCGAAGGGCAGAGGCTATAGCGGCTGCGGGTTTTCCTGGGTTCCAAAAAAAAAAAAAAATTGGTTTTCTTCAAGGGGTTGAGCTTCCAAGAAAATGGTCAAAAACTGAGAACTTAAAATCATTTGAATGAAACCATTAACAAAGAAAATCTCTTTTCTGATAACACACTAAAGAGTAGTACTACTTTGTTAGCTTGCCTGTTAGTGCATTCTTTTCAGTAAAGAGAAAGGTACAACACAGAGAAATAAGAAAAATCTAAGGAGTGGAAGGACACTTCTTGATCATAATTATTTTCTTTTATTTGTATTTTTTTGAATTTAGATAAACATAAAATCAACAGAGACATTCAGTGTTTCAGGTATCACTTTCTTTGAGTACTGCAAAAGATCAAAGAATGCAAAAAAAAAAAAAAGAGATACCTATGGATTGAGACTTGACTTTTGAAAGCAAAAACAAGTGAGAAAACCTATAGATTTCTGTATAATACCACCAAAATAACCAATCTCTCGGAATTACAAATCAGCTTTATTCAACTAGTAAAAAGACATAAAATAAAGTAACTTTACACACACACACACACATATGATAAATAAAAAAACATGCATATTAGTAACACTAGAGAGATAGAGATATATACTGCAAGAACAATATTGCAAAAGTTGCAAGGGATATAGCAGAGTTGCTCAGAATTAGTAGAATCAATGCAGGTTGCCATTTTTATTGGAGGACTTGTATCTTAAGGGAAGAACAAAGAAAATGATGAGAATAAATTAAGAAAAAGGGAAGAAGAAATAACCAAATATATAGAGATCAAAAATAAGGGGAGACAGTCCTTTACTCCCTCTTGGAAGCACAAAGGTAAAAGCAAACACTAAAGAGAATAGGCTTTTATTCTCTCTCTAGTCTATTGCTTTTCTTTTTTTTTCCTTTATTCTTTGGTTATTTCCCACTCGGTGACTCTATACACAGGACTCGAACCACAAATCTTTAGTTAAGAATGAAGGAGTATATAATTACTACCAGCATAACCTTGTTGGTTAGTATATTGCTTTCAAAATGCGCTATGTCCACAAAGGTAATTAAAGTAGGTGTATAAAAAAACACATACTTCCTCCATTCCAGTTTATGTTATCTTATTTTCTTTTTAGTTTGTTACAAAAAGAAATTTTCTTTTCTATATGCGAAATGATTTAACTTAAACTTCTCATATTACACTAAATAACTAGTACTCTCTTTGTTTCAAATTAGATGAGGTACTTTCATTTTTAGTTTGGTCCAAAATAAATGACACATTTCTAAATTTGAAAATAATTCAACTTTAAACTCTTTATTTTACCCATTTTACCCTTAATGAGAAGCTTTTATAACCACACAAATGTCATGGCCCCACAAAACTTTTACCCCTCAAGCTTTTACGACCACAAGTTTCAAAAGTTTTTTTTTCTTAACTCCGTGCAAAGTCAAACTAGCTGATCTAAATTGAAACGGAGGGAGTAGTATTTATAGCCAGTGGCATATCCAAGTTGAGGGATATGGGTTCACGTGAACCCATACTCCTCTTCAGAAACCATGTATAACAATGTTATATTTCTTCAAAATTACTTAAATATATGTGTGTGAGATCTTGGCCTTTGATGAAGATGAACTAATATACTGGCATTCTCTTCCAATTTCGTATCTCATGCTCAAAGACTCTTATGGTGCAATTTATACATTATTGGGTGTACATCTACAAATAAAATTGGCAGTTCAAATTCCACTCTAAACAGTCTTATTTTCGGCACGGAGTATAAATATATATGTGAAAATTACTACAATTTCAAAAGGAAAATAATTTTCAACCTATAATTTCAACGGTGTAGTGGGTTCATGGTAAGAACTAAAGTTAAATCCATCAAATATAAATTCTAAATCCACCTCTTCACAATAGTGCACCCATCCTCTTGATATCCTGGATCCACCTTTGTTTATAGCCACATAAATATTGTGATATGTGTAAGACAATACAAGTTCAAAAGTGTTATATATAACCATAATACAAATGTTACGATATGCTTAAAACCATAAATTTTAAAAGTCTTCTTCCTCATATTGAGGAGAACATTGTGTCGTAGAGAAGGATCTTTTACAAAGATCGGCAAAGTGCGAAGGTAGCTGGGAGCTAAGATTCTACTCGTGAGTGTAATAGTATAGGCCTACCCGACTATAAAACCGACTCGTATAACAGAGACAAAAGTCTGCCTAAGATTCTGCTCGTGAGTGTAATGGTATAGGCCTACCCGACTATAAAACCGACTCATATAACAGAGACAAAAGTCTGCCACAGTGATTCGAGATGATTTTTTTCCTATAAGAGTAGGCTTGATAAAAGCTCAAAAATGAAAGAAGATATAATATTTTGGACAATCACAACCATTTCTTAACCAAGCAAACTGAAGTGTGATTATGTAAATTATCACTATCCTTTAATCCCTTTAGTCCCAACATATTCTGTAATATATATTGAGATTCATTGTAAAAAGAATATAATTTTCTGTAATTCTCTTATCCAAACAAAAAATAAAAATAAAATTAGGTTAGTTCAATTCAATAGTGCCTACGGCAATAAGAAAATTGGTGAATAGGAAAAAGCAAAAAGTTACTGCAAAATACTGCTAGCTGTTATAGAGGATATTAATCCCATATAATATCCGGTTCATAAAAAACCGGGTTTTGAGGAATTAATGTGGGCTTCTTTTTCAGAAGTGTCAGATATTGGCCAAACAAGGGTTAGGGTTTTGTTGGGAACTTGGGAGGATGAGGAAGAGAAGGTTTTGGCTGTATTATGCTACCAATCCACACAATAAGTCAAGAAGAAGAAAAGAAGTCTTTTTTTTAAAAAAAAATTAACATACATACACGATATCAAAGTAAAAAGAAATTTATATTATCGGTGTTACTGGCGGAGTCAAGAATTTATATAAGTGGATTAACAAAAATACTAATATATGATACTTAAAATTTGAACCGATAACTTAAAATTCTTCTTGACACTACTAGATATTCGGCCAAAACTGACCACGGGAAATCAATTGACTTTAGTATTATTTTCTTGGAGAACTCAAGAATAAACTTTCTCTCTCTAGAATGAATTTTCCTCTCAGGTAACACTAAAAATGACGAGGAAAACGTAGAATGGAGGGGGAAGGCAACAACGTCAGGTAGGAAATTCAAGAAATCAACCGAGGAGCTATGGAATTCCGCAATCTGCGGATGCGAAAAAGACGAGAAACATCAACGCGATTCAAGGAATTGTGCCGTGAGGTTTAAGCCAAGGATCTAAGATGACTACAAGGAACTCAATGATGACTTCAATTGCTTCAATGAAGTCTCCTATGGCACCGTTGAAGACTCCACAAATGGCGAAGAAATCAGGGGGATCATGGGCAGATAGGGTGGAAGCAGAATTGACGAAAAATAATGAGGTGAGTAAGGAGAAACTAAGCACGAAAACAAGTTCATGGAGCAAAATTGTGGGAACAGCACCAGAAGTGGAAGGATTAGTTCTCAATTGTGAGGAAATATCAGGAGAAAATGTGAAAATTACTATGGAAGACATCAAGGATGAAATTGTTTTCTGGAAATCAACAGTAATATGTTATGTATTGGGATCCAACCCTCCGTTGGCTGTAGTTGATGGATACTTTCGTAGAATTTGGGGAGGGCTTGGTATTGAAAAGATTGCGCAAGTCAATAGAGGTGTGTATCTGGTGCGATTTCACACAATTGATAGCAGAAGCAAAGTCATTGAGGAGGGAGTCTAGATGTTCGACAAAAAGCCTATAGCAGTAAAACCATGGGAACCTGATATAGATGTAAGTAAAGAGAAAGTTGACAGAATTCCGATATGGATTAGACTCAAGGGACTGGATATTAAGTATTGGGGGAAGAATGCTCTCACCAAAATATCAGGGATGATAGGGAAGCCATTAAAGGCTGATAGAGCAACAACTAATAAGAAGCGACTTGCATTTGCTAAGGTATTGGTTGAAGTGTTAATAAATCAAACTTACCCAACACAAGTCATATTTGAGAATGAGATGGGGAAAATAGTGAAACAAGAAGTATATTATGAATGGAAACCTACATTGTGTCCAAAGTGCAAAAACTTTGGACATGAATTACAAGACTATAGGAAATTATACAAAGAAGAAGCAGAACTGAGAGGGAAACAGATTAAAAAGGAGAAGCAAGCAGTAGAGGGGACAGAAGTGAGCGCAAAGCAAACTGAAAAGGAGAAGCAAGCAGTAGAGGGGACAGAAGTGAGCGCAAAGCAAACTGAAAAGGAGAAGCAAGCAGGGGAGGGGACACCCAAAGCAGGGGAGGGGACATCCAAAGAAAGAGGGCATAACAAGGGAGAAAACAGAGCAAGGGGGATAAGAAAAGAAACAAATAAAGGTAATGTAGGCCAGGCAAATAATATATAAGACAAAGCAGTCCCTACCAGGAATGCATTTGCAGTACTAGACAAAGCTATAGCAATACAAAGTTAGGGGGCAACCAGTGCTACTATCAATAAGGGAGAACAGGTTAAGGGTGGCCCAAAACAGGGGAGGGGTGGGAGGAACCCCTTGCCAAATGGATAAGATCGGATTTTGGAATGTCAGGGGCCTCAACAAGCCAGATAAACAGAAAGATATTCATCTGTTTATGCATAATAGTGGGACTGGCTTGTTTGGCTTCTCGAAACCAAGATTAAGAGAGCCAAAGCTCATAGTGCTTCTTTTAATCTATGTGATGGATGGTCGTTTACAACAAACTTAGCAAAGCACCCAAGGGGTAGAATATGGTTGATGTGGAAACCAATGATATATGAGGTAGATATTCTGAGAACAATAGATCAGCTAATACATAGTGGAGTAAGGCATAAAGGTACTGGGAAGAGGCTATATGTAACTATGGGATATGCATATAATGATATGGCTCTTAGGAGAAATTTGTGGAAGGAGATAGTTGATATATATAATCATACTCAAGGCCCATGGGTTGTGATGAGGGACTTTAATAGTGTTCTGAACAAGGAAGACTTGATAGGGAGTCCAGTGACAATGGCTAAAATCAAAGACTTTAGACAATGTGTTGATACATGCTGCCTTGAAGAGCTGAAATCAACATGGGCTTTCTACACATGGAACAATAAACAAAGTGGAGTTGATAGAGTAATGAGTAGAATTGATAGAGTGTTGGTAAACATGGAGTGGATGACAGAGCTGCCAGCGTCAGTGGTTCACTACATGGCTGAAGGACTGATGGATCACAATCCTGTAATAATCAATTGGGAGAATGGAAATCAGAGAAACAACAGGCCATTCAAATATTTCAATATGTGGAGTATGGATCCGGAATTCAAACAAAAAAAGTGGAAGCTAGCTGGAAGGATGGAATCAAAGGAACAAAAATGACTCAACTAGTGGGAAGCTGAATAGGCTTAAGAAAGTGCTCCAGCAATTGAATAAAAAGAAGTTCAGTGATATTGAATTGCAAGCAGAACAGGATAATGAAGAATTAGAGCATTGTCAAAGATAGATCCAACAAAACCCCTCCAATAAGTAGTTAGCTACAAAGGAACATGAACTAGGAAGTAAATATAGGAGAGCAAAGCAAGCAGCAGATCAGTTCTTAAGGCAAAAAAGCAAAGTGTTATGGCTGAAGCAAGGAGATCAAAACACCAGATACTTTCATAGTTGTATGAAGGCCAGAAGAAATGCCAACAAAAACTTCTCAATAAAAGATTCTAGAGGCAATATGGTTACTTCTATAGGGGAAATAGCAGGGGCTTTTGTGGAGTTTTACACTGGACTTCTAGGAACTAAAAAAGATGATAGGACTCATATATGTAGTAATTTGGTGAGGAAAGGGCCAATAGTAATAGAGGAACAAAGAAACATGTTAAATGAAGAATTCACTGAGAAGGAGCTCAAACAGGCTCTCTGGCAAATTGATGGGGAAAAAGCCCCGGGTCCTGATGGTTATGGTAGCAACTTCTTCAAAGACAGTTGGGACATCATAAAAACTGACCTTAAGGATGGAGTATTTGAGTTCTTCAGATCAAGTAAGATGCTAGAGGCAATAAATAACACAGTTATCACAGTGATCCCAAAAAGTAACCATGCAGAAGCAGTTGGGGACTACAGACCAATAGCCTGCTGCAACACAGTATACAAGATCATCTCAAAAATGATATGCAATAGACTCAAAACCATCCTGTCGAGCATCATCTCTGAAAACCAAAGTGCTTTTGTAGCTGGTCGAACAATCATGCAGAACATATTGATTTGCCAAGATCTTATCAGATTGTACAACAGGAAAGCTGCAACTAGGAGCTGCTTGATAAAAATAGATCTCAAGAAGGCATATGACTCCATAGAGTGGAAATTTGTAGAGGAAATGTTACACGCCCTAAATTTTCCTACGAAGTTCATAATGTGGATCATGGAATGCATTTCAACTACCCAATATACTGTGGCAATTAATGGAGGGTTATATGGAAGCATAAGAGGAAAGAGAGACTTGAGACAAGGGGATCTCATCTCCCCTTTATTGTTTGTCATATGCATGGAGTACTTTATAAGAATTATGAAGTTAGTGGCTTAGCAGGAAAGGTTTGGCTACCATACAAAGTGCAGAAGCTTATAGCTTAACCATCTATGCTTCGCAGATGATGTGCTCCTGTTCTACAAAGGTGAATACCAATCTATTATGTTGATGTTAAGGGGACTACAAATATTCTCCAACTCTTCAGAGCTAACAACTAATGCAGGAAAATCGAACATATATACTGTTAAGGCTCAGGAGATAGAGAATATGTGTGAAATAACTGGTTATAGTAAAGACAGCCTCCCTTTCAAATATTTAGGAGTTCCAATATCATCGAAGAAAATATCAAAAATGGATTGCCAAGTACTAGTGGATAAAATAATAACAAGAATAAGGAGTTGGGGATCAAAATATCTGTCTTATGCTAGGAGGATGCAAATGATCAACGCAGTGCTAATGCATCTCCACACGTACTGGGCATCAATCTTTCTACTTCCCAAAGCAGTGCTCAAAAGGATCGCTTCAATATGTCGGAACTATCTATGGGATGGCAAGGTGGAGACAAATAGAAGACCATTAGTAGCATGGGATCTTGTTTGTAGACAAGGCAAGAGGGAGAGATAGGAATAAAAGATTGTATAATTTGGAATGAAGCTGCAATAGGGAAGTATGTTTGGGATATAGCAACAAAGGTTGATTCTCTGTTGGTTAAATGGATCAATCATATATACTTAAAGAACACTGATTGGTGGCTATATAGTGTACCCCAGGATAATAGTTGGTATTGAAAAAAAATATGTCATGTAAGAGACAAGCTTGTAGGAGGGTACAACCAGGGCAGATGGCAAAGACAAACAGGAGGATACACAATCATGAAAGGGTACTCTTGGCTGAGAGGGACTCTGGATACTTGCCAATGGGAAGGGTTTGGAATATGCAAAATGTTCCAAAGTATAGCTTCATTTGATGGCTAATGATGCAAGGGAAACTGCTAACTAAGGATAGGCTAACCAACAGAGGGATCAGTTCAGATGGCCTATGTGTATTGTGTGGAAATGCCCCAGAATCAATAGAGCACCTGTTCTATGAGTGTCATTTCTCTAAGCTGTGTATCAATGAAACTCTGCAATGGCTGAAAATAAGCATAACAAACTATGAAGGGCAGCATCTATGGAAAAGAATTGGTAGGAAGATGGAGAGCAAATTTAGAAGGGAGTTCTCCTATGCTATAGTGGCTGCATTGAGCTATCACATATGGAGGGGGAGAAATGAAGCTTTATGGAAATGTGCTGTGCCTAGTCCTAGCAAGATATGTGCCCAGATAGAAAAGGAATGCAAAGTTCGTGTATGGAGATAGTCAACAAAAAGAAGTGGGACAAGGATAGAAGATGGATAAAAGAAGTATATAGCTAAATAGAGGTTAGAAATAATACATGTACAGTATAGGATACAAATAGACTTACTTGTGCCTAGACGATTAAGTATAGAGTTATATATAGTCAGGTGGTAGAGATGTCTTTTGCTTTACTTCAATGTATTTATTCTGGTGATGAATAAAAAAAATTCATTCCACCAAAAAAAAAATCAATCGACTTCGACCGACCGAAGTCGGTTGGTATTTTAAAATATTTTATTTTTCAATTTTTTCTTTACAAAATCGACCAATTTCGGTCGGGTTTTTTTTACGCAAAAGTGCGGGAAACTATTTTGGCGTCCTGCGAAATTTATTTTTTAATAAACCGACCAACTTTGGTCGGTTTTTCATATAAAATAAATTAAAATTAATATTCAAAAAAATCGGTCGGTTGGTTTAGTCGGTCATTTTAAAAAGCTGACGGATTTCGGTCGGTAATTTTATATTTTTAATAAATTTCAGTCGGTTATTTTCGCGCGAAAAGCAATTAAAGAGTAAAAATAAAATAAAAGATAGTCTTAACGAAAGTGTGCCAATGGTCTAGCGGTAGAATAGTATACTGCCATAGTACAAATCCCGGTTCGATTTTCAGATAGTGTATTTTTTAATTTCATAATTAAAATACCAACTAACTTCGGTTGAAAAATATCAACCGACTTCAGTTGGTTTTTTCGACAGATTTGTTTTCTTTTTTGGTCGCTTGTGAAATTTTATTGATTGACCGAAATCGGTCGGAGATTGCGACCTACTTCGGTCTTATTTATTACTGATCAACCTAATTTTCACGAATTAAAGTCAGACAAAAATTGATGGATTTTTCCAGTTTTCCGATCGATTTCGTTTCTGAACAGTTTTAGGCAGTTTTCTAGGAGTGTGAACTCCTTCGCCTCTTTACTAGAACTTTTTCTTATGGCAAGAAAATTGATCAACAATTTAAATATAACAACAAATTAAAAGTTTTGTTTTTGCGGCGCAGTGTTATTTTTTAATGAAGGGGATGCGATTGAACACCTTTCGTCGGCTTAGTTTCGCCACTGATCAGCATCTATATATCTTTTTAAAAGGTTATTCATCTTATATTTTATGTTAGTAATTCCACTAATCATAAGCGGTAATTACTTGCATATTTATTTCTTAAGTATCTGATTAGTGTAAAAGTTCTACAGTGTAAAATTATTATTTTTTTCTAATATTTTCTTGAAAAACATATATTTTTAGGCGTTTCAAAAAATAATAGCCGATAAAATGTAGATTTATTTATATATGTGTATTATATGCAAAAAAAATATATACATTTTACATAATTTTCGACTAGCAAATACAATTCGTTTCAGTCGGCCGATGAGTTATATTTTGCCCTATTTTCTTTTATAGTGGGTTGAGGGCAGGGG